TGTCTGTTAGCATTATGTTGAAGAAAGACAGCCCATTTTAAAGATCTGCAGGCACTGGAGAATATTCATAACTTTTCTATATAGTCAGTTGTTCTAAAAAAAAAAAGTCGAAAGTTAGAACTACAGTTCTATTTTAAGTTTCTTTTCACCTACCAATCATTTGGTTTAATTAAGCCTTTATTGGTAGGATAGGCCTTAAGAAATGTCATGACTTAACATCCTCTTGATAAACTTGATGGATTTTGTCAGGAAAAATTCAGGAATTCATCCCCTTTCAGGAAAGTGCTTAAATATAGATTTAGTTTGAAATCCGTAGAAGTTAAACATGTGACTGATGACATAATTTTAAGTATTTCCTTGCTTAGGACCTCATTTTCATACTGTGAATTTTGCAGGCCCTCAGAGTGCTTTTCAGAGATTTTCTGAGGCCTTAATAGCTACAGGAAGAGCTGTGCTAGCAGTTTAATGGTATTAGCTACTTCTTGCAGGGTCTACCTCTTCTCCTGACTGCTGCACTCTCAGTACTGTTGCAAATTACTGGACTGTCGTAGATGCTAAGGCATGGCTGTATTATGTAGTTCTGATGGATTCCTCCCTGGTTAACTTCAGTAACGGCTCAGTTCTCAGGCTGCCGTCCATGCCGATACCACGCACGCAGCGCACACTGTGTTTCCACACACCTCATTGGGACTTTTTCATTCACACGTTCTTGCTGAGCAGTAATCTTTCTAGGGCTGCTTTAAGTCAGGCCACAGGTATCCTGTGCTCAGATGCCTCTGTCATTCACTCCTTTGAGAACGCCATCACTCTAAGTTGTAGGCAGCTAACCACACTTACAAATCATAGTTTCTCTTCCAAAATGGTGTGTGCCCACACCTAGCTATCAGTTTCATCATTACGAGATCTCTGTTTGATAGCGAGGCTTCCTGTTTTTTCAAGAGCATTGGCTTAACCTTTTATAGCATTACCTCTCATCTATCTTCATGGCTTTGCTCATTTTGTAGAAGTGATTATGTCTTTCAAGCAGTGACCACATCAGTCCTGCAGGCAGAGGTAAAGTTCTATTTTCATTGCCTGTATAGCCAAGAAACACATCCCTCTGTTCTCAACATACTGCTATTTAGCACTATTAATCTCTCACATCAGTTTCAAAATTAGTGATTTTGGGGCTACAAGTAGCTTTATGTTTGAGTGCAATCTGTAGTTTTTATGCCTAGATATATCACCTTGCCTCTGGCTGTATGTAGACAATTAAATGTTGCTCACCACAGTTTAATAAAGTGCAATAAAGACTAAGATTCAAACATGACATTTCTCTTACTGCTTTGATCTTCCATATAGCTACTAGTTGTATGTTGTCTGAAAACTTGTAAATAGAATTAAAATTTTATGTGTAAGTATTTTTCTTCTTGCTGGTTGTTTGGCTTGCTGAGAAGTACCATACCTGATGAGTTTGAGTTGATCAATGTAATTAGAATTAAGGCAAAATATGAGTATCTTGGGCTATTAAAATGTGACACAGAAATTTACTGCTATTATATTGATGGAAATTGATACAACTTTGTTTTCTAACAAATCACTTCCAGAACTTTTGAATAGCTAGCCTGAAAATTTATTTTGTTTCTAAAAAGAATTAATTAAATTTGCTTAATTTTTCGGTGTCTTTGCTGTGAGTATCCTGAGAACATCTTCAAAGTGTATCTCATAACTATGAAGTGGACCTCTTTGCTTAATATATTGCCAGTTCTGAATTCAGTTAAAAATCAGTCTAAAAGGAAGCAAAGTTGAAGGTGCTGCAAATTTCTGTGGGAAATAAGTTGGTCTGAAAATCACTGGAAGCATCGGAAAAGCTCCGATGGTTGCAAGAATCTCCATATCCTGTACTTTGATCAAACAAAATGTTAGCTAGGAAGGCAATACCTCTTCGAGTGTAAGAGAGGAAATAAAAGCTATGCGATTTTAATTGTAACTGAAAAGGCTTTTTAAAATGGGGGGATTAAGGAAAGCCCATTATAATGACACAAGAATTGAAAGACGTGCGCTATGATTTTTCAAGATTTCGTATTTTCAAGCAATGACTTGATTATGATACATATCATAAAATCATTATGATTGGAAAAGACCTTCAAGATCATCGTGTCCAACCATAAGCCCTTCAACACCAACCCTGCTAAACCATATCTCTAGGTGCTTCATCTACACGTTTCCTGAACACTGGCAGGGATGGTGACTCCACCACTTCCCTGGGCAGCCTGTTCCAATGCTTCACCACTCTTTCCATGTAGACATTCTTCCTCATATCTAACCTACACCTCCCTTGGTCCAATTTGCCGTTTCCTCTTGTCCTATTGGCCGTTATTCTGGAGATTGCCCCCCGCCTCAATACAACCTCCTTTCAGGTAGTTGTAGAGAGCGATAAGGTGTCCCCTGAGTGTCCTCTTGTCCACACTAAATAATCCCAGCTCCCTCATTTGCTCCTTGCTCCTTGTAAGATCTGTGCTTCAGCCCCTTCCATTAGGAAATGTTGGGAATGGCTTTGAATGGCCTGAGTGAGGTCAGTCTATAATCAGAGTAATTATGTCATGTTCACATCTGCTCGCGAGACCCTCTCCAACCTCCTAAACTGTCTGATGCACACATGCATTGATGTAGGCATTTAGCTGTAACATGGTTACAACATCTGTATCTTTATAAAAAGAAAAATGTGAACATTTTTCCATCAGATAAGGAGTTGCCAGCAATGAAACATTTGACTGTCATTTCTGGTTTAAAAGTTTATGATTATGAGTAAAGTATTTCAGAGAATGAATAGCCACAGAAAATGTCAAGACTATGCATCAAAAGCACTACCTGAGAGAAAAGATATTGGTAAAGATAGCACAGAAAGTTTTTTTTTCTTCTCTTCAAAACAAAATATTACTGTGATTTTTTGTGCTAAAAAAAAAGGAAAAAAGTCCATTAAGGGCATGAAGTAGAAAAGTGGTAAGTATGTTTTGAAAGAAAAAATGTTACTTGCCTTAATATTTTCTAGAATATCCCATAATTTTACTGTTTTAAATAAGTATCACAGGACTTGTGGAAACCAGGAACTTGTACTGAATGCCCTGGTAAGAAAGATAAGGACAGCAGGTAAGAAAAGAGAGAACACAGGTAAATGTTCTGGGTCATTCGTGGCAGGTGTGATGTCATGGCAGGAGCGATGTGCCAAAAGTAACGGAGGTCTCTCTAGCGCAGAATTTCTGGGAGCTGTGACATACACTAGAGGGCTGTGCTGCTGTTCAGAGGGACCTGGACAGGCTGGAGAGATGGGCAGAGAGAACCTCATGAGGTTCAACCAAGGCAAGTGCAGGGTCCTGCAGCTGGGGAGGAAGAACCTCAGGCACCTGTACAGGCTGGGGGCTGACCTGCTGGAGAGCAGCTCTGCAGAGAAGGATGTCTTGTTGGACAACAAGTTGACCATGAGCCAGCAAGGTGCCCTTGGGGCTACAGGTATCCCAGCATCAGGAGGAGCGTTGCCAGCAGGCCGAGGGAGGAGATCCTCCCCTCTCCTCAACGCTGGTGAGGCCACACCTGGAGTATTGTGTGCAGTTTTGGGCTCCTCAGTACAAGAGGGATGTGGAGCTACTCAAGAGAGTCCAACATAGAGCTACAAAGATGATTAAGGGATTTGAACATCTCTCGTATAAGGAGAGGATAAGAAAGCTGGGCCTGTTCACCCTACAGAAGACTGCCAGGGGATCTCATTGCTGTGTACAAACATCTTAAGGAAAGCTGCAAAGAGAACAGGGCCAGACTATTTTCGGTAGTGACAAGTGATCGTGTGAGAGGCAATGGGCACAAACTGAAACACGAGAAGTTCCATCTGAAGTTGAAGAAAAACTTGACTGTCAGGGTTACAGAGAACTTAATGAGGCTGCCCAAAGAGGACGTGGAGTTTCCTTCTCTGGAGGTATTCAAAACAAATCTGAACACAATCCTGTAAAATGTGCTCTAGGGAACCCTGTTTGTGCAGGGAAGTCGGACTAGATCCCTAAAGGCCCCTTCCAACCTTAGTCATTCCACGAGTTCTCCATCTGATCAGAGTTAGTCATGATAGCCTTCTTCAATGTTGATGGAGAGAAAGAAGCACTAATAGGACATGGGTTATCTCACGTGAAATGCCATATTGCTAATATCTAGGTTTGAGTGGGACATATTCCAACTAGTGAGCTTTCAGAGGGGAGCTTTAATCACTGAATGCCTCCATGCCACTTTTCCCCTCAGTTTAAAACACAAGTAACTCTTACTTTCCTTACTCCTATGGCACTGGAGACAGAAGGCACCCCAGCAAGGAATCTGCACAGAGCAATAAATGAAAAATTCATTAAGTAAAAGAATGTTTATTCAACAAAATGAAAATGGCGTGTGTTATCTTCTGCAAAAGTCAGCTTTAACCATTACAAATACCAGGAGTGAGACCTAGAAAGGACTACATTATGTCAACATAGGTTAAAACAACAGACACCTCCATGAAAAGTTCCATGACTGTAAGAAGCTCTGGCACAGAAGATACTCTATGTTCTCTCCTGTTCCAAACCTGGCTTTATTGCTTTATTATGTGACCAAAGAGAAAAAGTGTTTTTTTTTTTTTCCTCTAAAAATAACTTTTCAAACACAAGTACCTTACTTCGGTAAGAGTTACACCATGAAAATTCTAAAAGACTTTTCCTGTAAAAATATATGCATACATTTTTAAGATAATTTCTTAACCAGTGTATTTTACCTGGGAAACTTTTGATGGGAGTTGGAATAATTTATATGATGGCTAAAAATTGTTATAAATACTGTATCTTGAAGAAGTTGTTTAACTGATACCTGACAGAATGCTGTAAGATAACATCAGGACAGAGTGTGTAGGGTAGGAGGGCATAAGGGTGAGTGGAGAGCAAGGTGAAGAAGCTGTATCACAAGCTCTTGACTATTCCTATCAGCGTGACACTTTTGCAATTTTCAATACATTAAGATGCATTTCCTCAGCGGAGTCCATCATTCTGACAGTGCAACAAGATTTTGCATGTCATAACATTTTAGAAAACTACTGTTCAGTCTTCCATTTTTACATGAAGTTCCCATTGTTCCTTGAATCGCAGAAGGCACATTTCTTGGTCCTCGGATGTTTCATCAGTTACCTGTTTCTTATACAGTCTGGACAAAATTCCCTCTTTGTCAGGAGCATCACACTGAAATACAGCTTCACATGTCTCATTTTCAATACTGGACAAAGTAGGAATGTACAGTCTTCCAGTGTGAGGATCCCAGTCTACGACTATGGTCTGTTCATTCTCCTTCTCTGGGTCTTCTGATGCAGATGGATGCTGGAGGCTTGGTGCTATTGTTTCTAGAGGACAGGATGTCTGCCCAGATTTTTCAGTATCCAAGTCCACCAAATTGATACATGCCTCATTCAGCAATTTGTCTGCTGCAGGAGCCATCTTCAAACCCAGTTCCTGTAGTTTCTGTCCCAAACAAGGATCTGCTGTCACCACCTCCAGCTGTGGGCAGTACGGCTGCCCTGCCTCACTATCTCCCAAGGCCCACGCCACGCGTGCCTCACCCAGCAGCTCCCTAGGGGCAGAAGTCTTCTCTTTCAAACAGAGTTCCATCAGTTTCTGACAAGGATGGAAGTCTTCAGCCCTTACATCAAGTTCATACTCTATATTCCCTTCATTTTTTTGGCCCATAGTATTCTTAGGCCCAGCCTGGCCATAAAGTGACCAGTTCCTAGTTTGGTCCCCTTTTGAGAAAATATCCACTTCCTGTGAAATACTGAGCAACTGTTTTGTTTCCAGCACTTCTTTTGGAGACAAATCCTTCCCTTCAGTGTCATTGTAAATGGTATAATAACGGGGACTTTTCCTTTCTGACAGATGAATGGATTCCTGAGATGTCTTGTACTCATCCACATTAATAGTGATAAGGTTGATCACAATTTTTTCACAAGGTATAAAAACGCTTTCCTTGCATTTATCAGTATAGTGCCATACCTGGAAAGCAAGAATATTTCAATTTGACCAAAACATAAGAAAATCTTGCTGCTTCTCATACTGTTATCTGTTTTTAAACTATAAGGCTGGGTCATATCTTTTTAAGTCAGTATTTCAATTTAGGGGAAAAGAAAGTTCCACATATGTACCTCCAGGAGTGTCAATGTGCTCCACTTTTTTTTTTTTTAATTCTATAGTAAGTAAAAACATATTATGACCAGTTCTAATTTCCATTTTCTCATCTTACCAAAATAATAGTTAGAACAACTTTGTCTCAATCCGCCTAGCACAAACTCAAGTGACTTCAAAGAAAACATGCCAGTTGCCCTTGGGTCACAGATGACAGCATCTATTCCACTCTATTTAACCAGCGAAGAGGAAGTGTAGTTGAAACCACATCCCACAAGCACAGAATCAGCTACCATGTTAAAGTATAGTTTGCATAGCATTGAATAAAGCAGATTTCCTTTCAAAGGAGAAAGCTATACATTAAGGTTAAAATGCATTGTATGGAGCCTGCATTATGGATTCTGCCCCAGGCTGGGATTTGTGACTCTGGGATAAATCACCTACCTAGTTAAACAAAAGGAATCTCCCTGAAATTAACAGTATTTCTGACAGAAATAAATATTGTACGAGCAGTTACTAAAATACCAGAAGTGGCACTTGAAGCTATTTTGAAGCTTGAATGAAGAATTAAGACCACAAATCTATATACTAAGCAGCCTGAAATGCTTGCACTGGACCAGAACAACTTACTTATTTCACTTCCCCTTGGCCACAGGAGCTAGTCATGTGAAATAGTTTGCCACTTAGGAAAAGTGACAATCATTGAAATATCAGGTTTATTTTTTTCTTGTATTTAGCATCTCTCAGGTGACGCTTATTTCTTTGTTCACAATGTTCAACCTTTGTGCTGTCTGTGGTTTCCTTCCAGCTGACTCAGAGCTCTACTGCACATGCCAAGCTTGGCAACATCTGCAGCAGTGCAGGACACTTACCAGGTTTGTTGGATGTTTCTGTTTGCTGACATGAATATACCTGTACACATAATAGCATGCCATGGAAATAAAAAGGACAACCAGAATGACCGGCAGAACATATCCAAATAGGTTTGTTATAATCTGATCTGCTGTTTTATCTGTTAAAAAAAAGAAGTTTTAATTTAATATGTTAAGAAGTTGCTACATTAATGGATAATTCACATAGTATTATATACATTCAGTACACTGCTTTTTAGCTATGGTATGCAAATGTTTTAGACATTAAGCAAGGAATCTGCAGACAATTAAAATGTTGACATTTGAGCTAGAAGACTATTTTTTATACTGTAATTCTAAGAAGAAGCAATACTCCCTCTCTCAGAACCTCTTCTTCCTTACTTCTCCCCCCTCCAAATGATCCAACTCTGTCACTCCTAAACCTCTTCTTGAGAAAAAAATCTCCATTCACGAAGACTTAAAGAAGCCAGATCTTTCTCTTCACAGGTACTGCCATAGTGACCGCCTGCTAAGCAGAATTTTTTTAAGTGAAGGATTTGTTTTTCATCAATACAACTGCAGAGTGGGGAGAAAACCACATAAACCACATGAGTTTTTCAGCCTCCAAATGGATACATTAAGAACTTCCAACCCCAGTGACCATGACATTTTCAAACTTGGATCTTATTTCCATAATCTGCCAGCCCACACATACCTTTCAGAGTCGCAATGCAATGCTCCTTGGAAAACCCGCTGCTTAAAAGCGGCGTAGTAACATGTATCTGCGCGCTGACACAATAAACTGTTCCAGGTTCTAACCAGGGCACAACCAAGGTGTTGTTGCTGACAGAGAACCACCACTAGAAGGCACAGGAGAGATTCATCCTTTTAATATCTCACTTCACAGAAAAATAAAGAATTTTTATATACAAAGTATTTCACAAGCACTTTTTTTTCCTGGAAAATGCAAGGGTATGGCAAGAACTGCCAGCTGCATTTTTTTTTCCTGAAAGCAATCAAAACTCAAGTGATTTATTAGGTCACATCCTCTTTCAATATTTTATTTTCCATTCAATAATTCTGCTACCACTACTAGATAATTTTATGTGTTCTATGAAAGAGAATCATGGGCTATCACTAGCCTACATACTCATGCAGATGTAATAAAGATAAATCATTACCAAGAGAAGGCACTGCTAAGGACCTTAGGATAACGGCGATAGCTGTACAGACCTTTGAGTTCCAGGTAATTGTTCTATGTCAAGCATCTTAATAATAAATAAATAGACCACCTTTGTACACTTCTAATTACTAATCTAGGGAATTAAATATCTCCTTTGATGAGACCTTTTTGATGTGAATATTCTGTTTCTTGTAAGTTCAGAAAAAGTGTCCAGAGGACAGGGATAAAAGAATGTTCTTGCATCTGATCACTGAATTCTTCCTCATCTGCAACTTTTATGCTGGAAACTAGTCCCTGATACAGAAGGTAAATTTGGAAGGACAGATGAATGAAGACATTCAGGTGTGGTGGTAAAAGACGCAGTTGGTAGCCATGTCCTGCAAGTTCTACACGCAGCCTGATCGGCAGGGGAGCAGCTCAGCTGAAGGCCTGGGGGCAGGCCCACACTGCACTAAGGCAGCCATGCCCTGGCAGCAACAGCATCTGGGCTGGATTAACAGAACAGCCAGCAGATAAGGTATTAACCTGCTTTATTTAGCACTCACTAGATCACATCTAGTGTGTACCCCATCCAGTTTGGGCTCCCCAGTAGAGGTGGTCATGGACAAACCACAGAGGGTTTAGCAAAGGATCATCAAAACAGCCAGGGGCTAGAGCACTTGTCCAGTGAAAGGAAGCTGAGAGGTTTGGGCTTGTTCAGACTGGAGAAGAAAAGGCTGTGAGCGGGACCTCATAGCAGCCCCCTGGGACCTACCTAGGACCCCCAAGTCATCAAAAACAGGGTCAGGCTCTTCACAGTGCTGAACAGCAGAAGCATGAGAAACAAGGGGCACAGGCTGAAATAGGAAGACCAGACTGGATGCAAGGAAACACTTGACTGTCCCCATAGAGGAAAAGAAGTGAAGCAGATTGCGCAGCCTCCCTGCTTGGAGGTTTTGAAGACCTGACTGGACCTTGAGCAAGCTGGTCTCAGCTCAGGGCTGACCCTGCTTGGAGCAGGAACTGGAGTAGAGACAGCCCGAGGTCTCGCTTCCAACCTGAATGATCCTACAATTCCTACCATCCTATGAATCGTATTTCAGTTATTTCTATTGTGGACAAAACACATTCCAATAAAGGCAGAAGACAGATTTAACAGGTACAGTTCTATAGCCTTTTCAAAGCTTACCCGTTTCTTTGTTTTTTTTTTGAGGACGGACACATTGTATTGCAGGCCAGGATATACCTGAGCCAGAGATACGGATTCTTCCTCAGGACTTCCCTTCCATTTCTCTGGAGCTGTCAGAATGATTGAAATAGATTTCTCTGTAGAAGATACGCTTACCATGGGTGGATCAATTTTAGCTGGAAAAACAAGCATTTATATAAAGCCATTTCATGCAGTAGAGTCGCATTAATTTTACTATGAAGTTTCTTAAAGTGATTGACGTTACCTTTTTGTAGTATTTTGGGGAGTCCAAGTAGTACTTAGTAGTACAATTAATTTATTTTAGTAAAAAAATATTTCCAGATACCTAATAAAAGTTTCTCACTGACAACGTGAACTCTGACTTGGAATTTTGCTAGAAATTCCTATGACTTAACAGAATATAAAACCTTGCAACTCCATTTGCTAAAATAAGCTAAATTACCAGAGTGCTCCTGGATTATGTGGCACAGCTGAAAGATATTGTGCTATAGAGTATGATTACTGCTTGGTTTAATATACTCTTCTAAAAAAATTCTTTATCCATAGGTATTTTTTCTTTTTTGATTGAAGGCTTATCAAAACACAAAACATATACAATATACAGAAGGCCTTTCAAATATATTAATTTAATATATATATTCAAATTCTCATAAGATTATTTCAACTACTGTTGCCAGCAACACAAACCTCAAATAAGAGTAAAAAAATTCTACGCTCTCACTAAAATCAAAACAGCATATGCTATTTACACACATGCACACTAGGAACGCGGTACTAATCCAGATTATCAGCATCTGTCTTTGTGATTAGCTTTCCTTACTCTCTGTGAGAGGGTTGAATCGGGGAGTCTCCATCCACTCGGAGCACATCCCGTGTAGGAAGGCTTTAACACTCGCGTAGTATTGTTCTTCATAGTCAGCTGTTTCACTGGAGAGGTCACACCATGTTCTGCTGATATTCTTGCATTCTGATTTTCTTACCCATTTGCCAACACCGTATCTATGTCAAAAAAAAAAAAAAAGGAGTTGTACAAAAACCATCACCGTGGTATTAGTCATCTAGTAACATACACACAGGAATTGATACTAGAGCTGAGAAAATAGTTTGCCTGCTCTGCAAAAATGTGCAATTTCAAGGAATTACCAACTCCAGCTGAGGAAAAAATAAAACACAAGATTTACCCATTTTTTAAAAATAAATAAAAATCACAATAAAACTTCTCCAGAAGAGGCAATAAAGAACTAACTGAAATGCTAGAGATACCAGTGTTTTGCCTGCACAGATCAGAGATGGCTGCATAGTTTCCACACCTTTAAGTCTAAACACTATAAAGAGAAGAGAGTTCAGTCTATTGGCTATCATTCTGTCCCAGGTGACTATTTATATGAAGTCTAATATCAAGAACTGACTAGCCAAAATGGCCAACAATGGTATGTGAAAACAAATGCTCAGGAGTCTCCAAATACCTGTATAGGAGACCACTAGTCTGTAACTTTTAAGCTGTCCATTACTTCCCTCTTTGCTCAAAACAAAGAATCCATCTGAGATGCAGTAAAGTTCAAAACCCTTTGAAGTGCTGGAGCACAGGCATACACATGGTATCTACAGTGCTTCTCTACTGACAAATTTTTATATTTTGCTAGAAGAATTGAAAATTTTGTTGAAAAATTCCTGCCTGGTTTTGCTCAGGAGCTCCTGTTCATATTGAGCTCAGGAGCTCAAATTCATATTTTGCTGAAAAGAATTCCCATTTGGCTGCTAATTAAAAGGAAGCTTCTATGTTTTTCCAGGATAATATCACTCACTAGCATTTTCCACCTAGCTCCAGGCCTTGCTCTTCTAGGCAAGAAGTCATATGAATATAAAAAGATGAAAGATGGCTGTAACTATGACTACACAATCTTGTGATCAGCTGACCCTGAAGAGGCAGTGTAGCCAACTCTCTTTGAGTATTTTACCTTCTGCCCAGTTATTCTTGATTCTTCTATTATTGAGCAATTACTTCCTTTTTAGGAAGGTGAAATACATCACTCCTCTGTCAGTAAGGACAGCAAAAAAGGGTGCAATCTTTGCTTGTAAAAAGAACTCCTTGCATTTTTTTTCCCATAACAAGTTACAAGAAGCTTCCAGAAATTTAACTTGGTTTTCATGTCATGAAAGAACTACTAGACTCAGGGAAGGGTATATAGCAGAGAATAAGACTGAGGATATTAGATCCTTGATAACAACAGCACTACGCCTTTTAGTAAGCTAAATTCAATGTACTGTCCTGCAGAACAACCAAGTTCTCTAGTAGCTTAGTATGAATAAAGGAAATGGATTCTGGTCCCAATTGATTCCTTGACATGCTAACACCCATTATGTGCAACCTTGTCAAATATAAGGTCCTGATTCTAATCGCTTTGCTTTGCTTTTTACCACAGTTGAGAACTTCAATGGATTTACTCCCAAACTGCAGGAATCTGTGAGATCAGAGGAGACCAGTGTGTGCTGAGTCTGATAGAAAAGACCAGTGAAACACTGGGTGCTGTTTATATTCCATTAAATATTCAATTCCTAGATTCATTCAAATGTGTCTAAAAGGCAACTGTGATGCCAATCTACAGCACAATCCTTAAATCTTCTAATCCACGTTTTAGTTTTCCTTCTTGTACTTTTTAACAACCATATCTTGCATTAAAAAAAATCTTATTTTAAAAACCTAAAATGAGTGAGGAATAAAACCAACAAGCCAACTTACACTGAATACTTCACCTTGTAGAGCACTCCATCTCCTGTGCCATCTGGTGCTGACCAGTGTAGGACATTCTTCATGTTTATAGATTCAAAATGGACATTCCTAGGGTTGGGCAAGGAGCAATACAATTCTCCTGGAAAAGGAAAAACAAAAGAGTGATATACACTAAGAATCAGCAAATACATATGCTTCCATGTAAGGAAAAATATTTTTAAACATGCAATAAAATACTAAATGCTGCGTCCCCCTCAGAAATTCAGTTAATTCAAAACAATGTCCCTATCCCTAGCTAGTTCAGTCCTAAGAGTTTTTTGTCTCTTGCAAAACAGCTTTTCTATATGACATTGGCACAGAACTATCTAAAGCTAAAACTAGGTAAGTTCAGTCTAAAAATAAGAAAAACATTAAAAAATAAGAAAATAAAAATAAGAAAAACATTAGAAAAAATCAAAATAACTGATTATCTGCACAACTGAAGACTCAAATGCGTATAACATTCTTGATGCTTCCCTAGAATTCTTTCTGTATTTGAGTGCTCATTACTGTACATTAAATGTTTAAATGTTTAAAAAGACACATGGAGCCTAGTTCAAGCGCATCTCTATAATCAGAGGTAAAATTTCACATTGACAAATCTGGCCAGATGATTCACAATAACCGTAAGATAACTCATTGTCTAAATTTATTTTCCAGAAAGGCACAATTGAATACCTACTCATATGTCACTCACTGAAATTACTGCTTAATGCACCAACCTTTGAAAAATGTTGCAAACACGTCTGGGGTCTAAGAAGCCAGTTACATCTGTCATTAATCCACACATTTAATATTATAAATTAAAAGCAGACGTTCACGTGGCTAAATGGCTTGCATAATGGAGGCCCTTGGGCCCAGGGGCATAATCCCAACCTGCAAGTTCTCTACTCCATCCCAAGCACCTCCTGCCATGAAGACGATGAGAATTGGCAGCGATTAGTAGTTTCAATAGTCAGTTCTGAAACTGGCACTGCTGTGAAAAAGCTTCTTGTGAATTGCCATGAGAGCAGGCACAACAGGGAAGAGAGAATGCGGATCTGTGGTCTTTCAGGACCTTTCTAAACCCTTTTAGCTCTTCCTCCAGGGACACAATTCTAGTTCTGCTTTAAGATCACTAAAAGAAACAGGAAGAGGGAAATAAAACATATTACAATGAACAGTAGGAACTCACCTGAAAGAATGCTTTGTGACCTCTGTTACTTCCTTAAGCAGTCCTTAAGATTTTAATAGCATATTTCACTATTGAAGTGTTTGTTCTCCTATATTATTATGTCTTGTATCATTGCTTCTGTAAATAAAATAAACTGCTGTCCTGATGAGCTCCAGAAATCTTTGAAGCACACAGTAAAAGTCCGTCAAGACCAACTACTTTAAAGTTTTGTGGAAGTTGCAGGATTTTCAAGCTTCTAGCTATATATTAACATTCAAAAACTCTGGTATGTGTCTGTATCTGTAATTTCTTATCATTAAACTGTATAGGGAGCTGTATTTTTAGGACTTAGCTACTTTTCATTGATTTTCAGATTTTTTTTCTTTTAAATTTGGAAAACAATTCAAATCGTGCATAAGGTAAATTTATTTATTTCCAGAGCATATGCAGCAAGTCCTCTTTCCTTCACTGTTTGGACATAGAGAGGTGGCGTAGCTGTCACCTTGCAGGGGCTAAAACCATGGGCTCAGTTACAAAATTTTAATGTTGAGAACTGGCAAGATACATTCAGTAAAACAGAGAAGTTTCTAAAACATTGATGCATATGCCATTAAGAATAAAGCAAAACATAGACTGCAAAAAACAGGCATCAAACTGTACTGTACCCTTGCATTGAAGTGTCTGAGGCTACAGAATATCCATCACCTGTATAACTAGGAAGGAGAGATTAAAAAAATCAGAAGGAATCTAGTCCAAGACCTAAAAAAGGCAACCGGGCAATCAGTGTTGGAGGAGAGGGAAGGACTGAGACACAATGGAACTTTCTGTTGCAGTGCCTGAATGAGAGGCAATACAAGGTAGGTATTTTCTCAGAGTGCTGCGAGTCAAGGCCGGGAAAGGCTTCTCAATAGAAAACAATGAGGAAAAACTAAAAAGCCTGACAAAGAAAGAGATAAGTATGTGAAGGAGTCCAGAACAAAATGCAGTAAATATTGAAAGGTCCAAAAACCTTTAGAAGAAAGATTAAAAAAAAAAAAAAAGACTGAAAGACTGGACAATCTCCTAAGGTCACTTTTGCCCCACTTAGGGCTTCTTAAACTAATATTGATATCTGCCTTTGAACTATCTAGTAATGTATTTGCAAGGGACCGTGTTTACACAGATAGAGCAGAGCTAAAAATATCCTCAACGGGTTGATTTTCAGACCTTTATCTTCAGACTTTATCTTAAAAAAGAGTTTTAAAAATCTGTACTGCTCATCAGGCTAATACAGTCACTGAATCAAACTAGATGGAAGCAGTGAACTCATCAGACAAGGGAAATTACCTCGCTGATTTTCTGAGTATTTTTGTTTGCCTGTACCTTTTGACATTTGTCCATCCCTGCATAAACACATTTGTATTTCTTGAGCATATCTGTAAGCCTCTTGAAATTAGAAGAAGTTATGTACAGAAGATATGAGTTTATTATATTTTAATATTTTTAAACTACATATAAAGGTATGTTTGTTGATTTTTTTTAACACCCTTCCCATTCTGTGGTTTTTGATGTGGTAAATGAAGTTTCAAAACAGCAACATTAACTACAGGAGATGATCCAATCTCAGCAAAGAAAACCCACAGAACCGTATCTTTTCAAGATCTAAAGCATTACAACACTGAGTTTGCTCCTATCTGCCCGAGTTCTGTGTGATTTGGAAGACAGAAATACTGAGACCATCAATTTTCCATTTACTCTAAAAGCAGAGATTTTGTTTCTGTTTTTTGGTCTTTTCCCTTTAGTAAAGATTTCTTTTTGTCCTTTGTCCTTTTGTCCTTCTTCAAAAATTTATATGTAAAACAGGATCCACCACAATTTCTACAAGAGTAAACGTCTATATAATGCTCAACAGTATCGGGAGACATGCACAGAAAATAAAACTCGAATGATAGCAGGTATGTTCCAGAGTCACCGATTAGTGATGAAGTATCTGTAATTGCTTGCTTACGTCAGTATCTTGTCCTTTAACACAATATATCCAATCTCATTCAGATTTGATTTCTCCCTAATAACCAGAATTAATGTCATGGATGTGATAGGAGTATTTCCAGTTTACAGTGGCCTACATGAGAGCAGACGTCAGTCTTGCATTTGGCTTCGTTAGGCTGGGTCTGCATCATATGCAGTGTCTGCAATGGCTGTCATCACTTTCCAGTATAATGAAGTCACTTCCTTAATTTATTTCTTGTATGGAGAAACCTGGAGCCCTATTACTGTCTTTTGAAGTGTTGTAAATGAAACCTTGAGCAATATTGTTTTATATATCTCCATGACTCTTTGCACACCAGAATTGGAAAGAGAACAACTATAAAGGTTTATAAACTTGATCATTACAATGAACAGCCAGGCCCTGATCTTAGAATAAGCAATTGCAAGGCTTTACAAAAAAAAAAAAGGCAGTCTCAAAACAGCTTAATATGTGAGCAAAAAACCCCACTGATGTCAGTAAGGTTATTCACATAAGTAGAAGACTGCTTTGCGGGTGCCTCATCTACTTTATATGAAAGAGCCTGCTGGGTTTAAAAATGAAGCGTTTAAATTGCATAGAGTTCAGTGCTTTACTGAAGTCAGTCCTTTTCAAAACAGTCTTGATTACAGCAATATCTATATGCCCACATGCATACATCTATGTGGAAATATAAAATACAAATGCATACAGTATCTGTGATATAACTATCTGTTCAGCGTACCTACTCTTTATGTCTAGCTGTCTAATTCTGTGGCAAATAGCTAGTGATTCTTACTAGTGCTTCAAAACAAATCCAGGCTGCAACCACCTGAATGCCCTATCAATTGAATTGTTAATCCAGTCCAGTAGGAGATGGTATTTTTTTTTTAACTCCCATGGAAGCCAGAAGAGAGCCAGCTCCACTTTTCACTTGAATTTGATGATATAGCACTACAAAGCATAAGTACATGACACACTTGAATTACTGTTGGATTTTCTTATATTAAATTAGTTGCTGGGAACATCTCTAAAGGACTTAACTCTTTGGAGGCTGGTAATAAGGTAAGCACTCCCTGCACCTTGCCATTTCCAGCTGCCAATTCAGGGCCACTGATGTAGGCCAATTTCACACACCTAAAAAGGAGACTTTCAAAATGCTGAGTCTCCTTTCTTCACGGGGAACTCTGAAGCACTGAAATATGAAGCAATTCAGGTGCTAGCTTTCAAAAATACAGTACTAAAACATTCCCTTTGGGCTTTTTGTCTATCCTGTAACTCACTGACTTCTTGTTCAGTTTGGGTGACTTTCACCAGTTCTTGTAATATCATGCTTGCTTGCTCTACTGATGCTTTCCGCCCCCCCCTTTAAGGAGCTCCTGCTCTCCTGTCTAACTCCAGCTCATCTCCTAAAATGGTTACATTGTTTGCAATGAAAAAATATTCAAATACACACCTAAGCATAACATGAGCGGTAATACTGGGTCAGACTAAACATCCGTTTATTTATTATATTAATTTAGTAGTATTTGCTAGCAGACGGTTGGGACTGTCTTTTCTGGCGCATCTATGTTCTTCAGCAAGCTGACACTGGCCATTCAGGAATGTGAGGGAGTACATGAAATGGTAAACAGCGGAACTGAGCCAAAATTGGAAACCAAAAGTTGCAGAGAGGAAGGGAAACCCTGCAAAGCCAGGAATATACGTTAGCAAATGTCATTACCTGGTATTAGTCATCCCAGCAGCAGTCTAAGCAAATGAGTTAAAAAAAAAAAAAAAAAGTTCAATGGAGTGGGCTTGAAAGTTTTCTCTGCACTGATTCCTTAAACTCATTTCTGAGATTCAACAGACTGGATAACTAGGAGAAAGGCAGATAAGACTCATTATAACTTGGCCACCTTGGTGTCTTGCTGGGGATGGCAGAGTATTAAGCCAGGCTGGTGAAGACTTTTACTTTAGC